GTAAATGGACACCTGCGCCAAGTTTTGTCACAATACTGTGGATGCACGAAATCCTGCTAAAACACCCCGGTTTCTGATGCTTCAATGTAACCCCTGGGTTTGTCACCTAGGAACATGGCAGGAATGGATCCAGCAAAACTACTGTGGAGGAAATCCATTTCGCAGCAGCTAAGAAGCCCTGGAATGAATCCCCCTGTACATACCAATAAATTCAATAGCTCCAACTCATGGATCATGTTGACTTCGGATTAATAAGCCCCTGTTTATTTATATGGGGGTGTCCCCGGCTTTAGCGGGGATTTCTCACTTTTGGTTCCAACTATGGCTTCGCTCGCAGGTCCAAGCCATATACCTCTGGTTGCCACTTTGAAACCATTAGAAACCATAACGTTTGTTGGTTTTTTACAGGGATTCGAATCATTCCAGGGATTTTTGGGTGGTGCAGGATTTCGTCCGTCTACAGTATGGCCATGGGTCAAAAGCCCGGTTATCCCCAGTGAACATCCCACTCCCCACTAAAATAGACTAAACTGGGTGGTGCACCTACCCGAAAATGGTAGCATCGGTGTTGACCCACAGCCATATGTCCCAGTGGGATATCAGGGCTACGTGTGGGGCGCGTGGTTGGGCCACTAGATTCGCTAATTTGGTCCATCCGTATGGCAAACTCATGGGACCAGAAACTCCTCAGTTTGGTTTCACCTGGATGGCTCCCGCGTGTAGGCCCCGGCCGGTCCCAGCATGTAGCGGTGCAGCACAGGATCCAGGCCTCAGCAGATGCTCCGCTCGAGCTCAACTAGGTCCTCCAGGAGAGAGGTTAGAATAAGGGTACCAACTTCTTTTCTGTGGCCTATTTTAGTAGGGGAAGCCTGCCGCCTAAAAGGGTAAAAGGGCACTACTGGAGGACCGAGTCAATGATTCAAGGGAAGCAAAGGAGAGCACCCTCTTAAGCGCCCTTATTCCAAAATCCTCCATACCCTCATAGAGGTCACATAGTGCAAAGCTTGATTTGCTAAGTAACTGGGCTGGTCCCACACAAGAGTTGGAATTCCAACCATGTATGTCCTGCCACCTAACTCTTTCCAAATTGCGGTGCCTCACAAAAAATAGGCCCCACTGTTCCATGCTTAACGCTTCAGGGACTTGTCCATTTACAAAAAGCCTGCCTCTTAGGTGGCCTTTTGCACCATGCCACTCCGCGCAAAACAGCCCATGAATTCTTGGGCTCCATGAGGCAGTTTTGCAATCCCCGCCACGCCCAAACCACTTGCTAAGACATGGGAGAAAGCTGCTCCAATCACAAAACCTGCGTGGCTCAACGAGAATCACACCTCGACTGCGACAAAATTGCTCGTAGTGACTGAAGCTGGCGACATGTCATCGCAAATGTTGCCTGCTACCCATCTCAAGAGGTGATGCTTGTTGGGCTGCTTCGAATAAAGCAGGATGTTCTTGCCGTCTAAAAAACAACAACTCATCCCAGCACGTCTACCTTGCTTCTCGCGCTAAAGGGGCCCTCAGCGCTCAGTACGATATGCAGTAAGGGCCCAGCCAGAGGAACCACGCGATACTTGTCCAACTCACCCGTCTGACGAGTCAGACACATCCTTGGGAACTTCTTCGTTCTGCCAACATGGTTGTAAAGGTCATAGGCCTTACCAACCTCCCCCTTTTAACCAGGTAGAATAACATCCTCTTCAAATTGCAAACCAAGCTTAAGTCGCAACTTCCCAAGCCGCCGGGCCCAGCATGCTGGTGTCAATCACCTGGCTCGGCTTGGCGGTTTCTTGCTTGCTCTTGGCACAACATGTGCATGGGCACTACCCGCAAGCACTCGATTGTAGAGGATCCTTGCCAGATTCCCTTGGCCAAGCACAAACCATGCGGTGTCTTGGCCGTGGTGAAAAGCACAAACACGGGGGATTTTGCCTCACCAGCTGATTCTTGCTGAGACTTCTGGAACTGGAGGCTGGCAGTCTCTGGAACTTGGGTTTGAAGCTGTTGTGCCGTGTATCCCCGTTCTGTGACGGCCCAGTTGTGCACCCTTTGCGCACCAGAGGCACTGATCCAAGAGGCACGTGGATGGACCCTGAGGCATTCCAGTTCATGCTTTGCCAGGCTGGCGCGCTGGTTGACTTCTGCCTTCTGCACTGATGTTTGAGACAGATGTGAGCTGCTAGATGCTGTGGGATTCCCTTCCAGGGTCGGGGGAAGGAGGGAGGTTGGGTCCTCCATTAGAGAGGTTGGAATAAGGGGAGCTTTTTTCTGTAGTCTATGTTAGTAGTGGAACCCTCCCCCCAAAAAGGGTAAAAGGGCACTACTGGGGAAACTTAGTTGAAGTTCAGCCGGCGGAGGAAGGAGGGATGGGTTGGGTCCGAAGCCTGGCGATCGCCTTGGAGACCAAAGACACCGGCCAATCCCAAACCCATCAGGGCCAATCCCGAGCTCTCATCCAAGCGAAGCACGAGGCTGAGCCCTGAGACATTTTTGGAGCTCCTTGAAGGGATCCTTGCAATAGAAACACCCATCGAACATTGCAACTTGTAAATGGTGGTTTCCAACTTTATTTTGGTGTGGAAAAAGCCATGTTTAAAATGGAAATGCAAAATGGAGATCTTTTAAGGAGCCCTGTTGAAATAGAGCAGCAAATGTCGAGGGTGCTTGCACAGACCGACGGGGAAGGGGTGTGTGTGTTTGTGTGTGCGGATTCCTGGATTCCAAACCAAAAAAACAAGAAACATACTTTTTTTTCAGGAGAGTCTCCACACGTCTCCGCCAGTCTCCTGGGCAAGTTGGCCTGTTCTTTTGCCTCTGATCAAAACTACAGCGATAAAGCAGCTGCTGGGTGCTTCTCCAACGGAAGCCACCAAGCCGTCCGTGCGGACAAACGTGCCCTGGCTGATCTTGCAAGGGGGAAACCCGCCACTGGGTATATTATTGAGATAGCTAAATGAAAGTTCACATATCCCACAAAGTCCCTTAAAACAGAGTCGAAAGGCTAAGCAACCGAGGATTCTGGGCGCTCAAATTCATGAAAAGCTTACAGCCACACTGCGCTCATTGAATTACTGTGGATGGACGAAGTCCATGTCGCACCCGTTCAGAAACCCTGGAATGCTTCGATTCCGCTGCAAATACCGACGAACAACAGTTTCAAGCATGGTTTCAAAGTGATGCGAATGGATTTTGTCCATCCACAATAACAGTACCATGGACAATGCTGACCCCCCCCACTTCTTAAGGGCAGTCCCTTTTGAGTGGGAAATCCATTTTTTGGGCAGTCCCATTTTGGCTTACCCAAGGCTAGGTCCTCCAGTAGAGAGCTTAGAAAAAGGGTACCAACCTTTTTCTGGTTCTATTTTAGTAGGGGACCCCTCCCCCCCACAAAAAGAAACGGGTGAGAAAGGGCACCAATTGCTGGGGGACCTAGGTATCAACCGAGCCGCAGCCCAGGGGGCCACTGTCCCTGGCGCCACCGCAGCGCCTCTACCGCTGTGAGGTCCTTCCCCGCGCCGGCGTGTTCCATGGCGCTCAGCCGCAGCCGCGCCTCTTGGGCGAAGCTTTCGGCTTCGGGTGAAAAGCGCTGCCGGATCCGTGAAAAAAAACCGGCCCAAAAACACCACAAATGGTTGAGTCCTCCAGGTCTCAACAAAAAAAAGTGGGAGATTGTGGCAAAACATCAAATGACGAAAGCCGCCCAAGAGAAGGTTTGGGACCATCTTTTTGCGATGGCTCTGCCTCCCCATTCTGCGAAATCACTGGCCGTTGTGGCTTGGTTCTGCGGGGTTGCCGAGAGAAAGCAACACAGCGGGCCGCCGTGAACCCATCATGGCTGAGAGTAAGTTGGACTCTGCCTCCTCCACCCACAGCTGACATGCCCGCACCTTGCAAGGGTTGAGGAGAACCGAAACCGAATTCCAGGGGCCTAGCCCACGAGAGGAAACAGGAAAGCGCACCCTGCCGTGAATATATGTGTGAAAAGGCGGCCACCTCCCAACGGTGTTGGAGTGTGTTTCCAGGTCTCAGGTTGGTTTCACTCAGCAGGATTCTCAAAAAGCCCGACTCGTTTGGACGCTCCCCCGCGCCTTCGCCTTGAGTAGTGGTTCGAGAATTGAATTTTTGGAGGTTCGAGGTTTCAATTTTTGGAGCTTTGAACCTGTCCCCTCAGTTTGGTGTCCTCTTGGTTTGGCTTGAAGGCTTGGAGGCTTGGGGGATTGAACCTGTTTTCTTGGCTTGCGGAGGTTTACGGAGGTATTGGGGCTGCCACTTCCTTTGGCTCGAAGATGTCCGGCCAATCGATCGGCATCGATCCATGGCCTCGGTGCGGCCGATGGTGAGGTGAAGCGCCAGCACCCCCAAGGAGAACATGTCGAAGGAATGCACCTGAGAGCGCTTTTTTCCTAAAAACCGCGGAGTGGGTCTTTATAGCCGTGTTTCCGATGATAATATTTTTGTTCTGGTCTTTTTTGTCTCAACGTTGGGGGAAAACCCAACCACCCAATGCAACCGCTACAAGCGAAGGCTCGGTCGCTTCGGCCGTGGGATCGCCCTGTGATCGATCTTCACCTTTGGGGGTCCAGAAGCCACCGGGCGAGGCACACGCGCAAGAAACTGAGGCAGGAAACAAAAAGATACTAGGTCCTCCAGTAGTTTAAGCTTCGTCTAAGGGTACCCGATTTTCTTTCTTTTTTTGCCTTTTGTAGTAGACTAACCCTCCCCCCCAACAAAGAGGTAAGGGGCACTGCTGGGGGACCTAGTCATGTTTCCCCCCTCATTCTCCACTTGAGACGAGCAACTTGCCTTGTGAGAGCTGGCTTCGTGTAAAGGCAAAGGCCATTGGAGCGCAAATGCAGATCTTCACGCACATCAGTTGGGGCCCACCTTCACAACTTGGTCCTCGCTTTAGCGCTTCAGGTTAGTTCTGTCTTCTCCCAAAACAAAGCGATTTTCCAAGAAGTGCAGACATGCAAGTCTTGTGGAGCAACCTGCCTGGAGAATGCTCAAAACAGGGCATGCGGTTTGGGCCCTTTTTCCAGCTCCGCCGGCTTGGGCAAGCTGGCAATTGCCTTCATCGTGGTTGCGATGCTCGGATGCTTGTGGTCGGTGTAGAGCGACCGCTGGATCTGCAAGCATTCCTGTCGGGCTCGGAACCCCTTTTCTCTCTCCTTTATCCGGGGATGGGCAGTTTCAGTGGAATCAGTCCCGTTTATGGCCCGTACTGCCAGTGAACATCCCAATCTTCATTAAAATAGGTTCTAAAAAGGGTGGTGCACCTACCCCAAAATGGTACCATTCATTTTCACACAAATCCATATAGCTGTACATGCTGACAATACTTACTCCATCAAAAGAATGAATGGTGGCCAAGCTCAAGCCCAAATTAGCTGATTTGGGTGTGAATGATGTTCTCTGAGTGCCCAAGGAAAGCAGCCCTTCAACCTGGACGTGAACACCTTCTTGTTTCGCAACGGAGGGGGGGCCTTGATCAAAAAAAGGAGAACCATCACAGCCCCCCCAAATCATTAATTCTTTCTTTCTTTCTTTCTTACATCCCAGCACGGGAACTCCAGGACTGCTATTTCTGGACCCTTCATGGCACCCCCTTACATCTACCATGAGGGGGGAGCGGGGTCCCCCCAGTTCCATTTCCCAGCATTTGCAAGGGAACATGTTTTCTCTTGTAGTCTATTTTTGTAGGGGAACCCGGTTGAGGCGTTTTTTCTTTTACTAGCCCCGGCTTTTTACTAGCCCCGGCTCGGCACAAGGCCTCCCTCCAAAGAGGTTGGGCTGGGGGTTGGTGGCCGCATCGCCAGCATTACCGGTTTCTTGTCACGGCTGCATATGGGGCATGACTTGATGCTCGGGATAGCCGGCCGCATCGCCAGCATTACTGGGAGCTGCCTATTGGCTTTGATTTGGTGGCAGTTCAGGGTTGATCGGGGCTGGTTTGGGGTGAGTGTTGGGCTTGCTGAGATATTAATGCGGGCGGGTCTTGGGTTTGTTTGGGGTTCATTTAGCCTCGGCAAAGGGCCGATATGCAGGATGCGGTTGGGAGGGTTTCAGGTTGACTTTGGGTGATATCTCAGCAAGCCCAACACTCACCCCAAACCAGCCCTGATCAACCCTGAACTGCCACCAAATCAAAGCCAATAGGCAGCTCTCGTCCGAGTGAGGCCAGTAATGCTGGCGATGCGGCCGGCTATCCCGAGC